CTTGCATTCTAAATTTTGAAATTGAAAAGCTAACTTGCCTATTCGATTGTATCCTATTCTATATCGGTGTTTCATCTCGATCCCGATCATTACAAAACATGATAGTCCTATCTTGAAAATTTTTGTTCAAGAGAGGACGAAACTTTCTCAAGGCGAGATGAGATGGAAAATGATGGTGTCCCATCTCAATCCCGTCACGATATATTATTTTTTAAAAATATTATATATTTATTTTTTTAATTATGTTGTTTACAGGTTCTTCTGTATAAATTATACTACCTCCGGTCCTAATTATAAGACCCAATTGACTTATTTGAGGAGATTAAGGAAGTAAGTTAAGTTAGTTATTTGCAATAAATAAGTGTTGTCATTCCTAAAATATCCTTGCTAATTAAGTGTATTGGCTAGAATTATCATTATTAGAATTGAAGGACTATCTTGGAAAAAAATGCATAAATATGAGAGACAAAATGGATTGGAGTCTTATAATTAGGACCAAACAAAAAGTCAAATAGGGTCTTATATTAAGGACCGGAGGTAGTATGATTTTTTTAGATGTTTTGAGGTTATTAATTTTTCTTTCTTTCGAGATTATAATAAAGGTTCTTTGCCAAATTTTGATCATTGCCAGATTTTTGGCCAACTTTTATCAATTTTTTAAATTTTCTTTGTGTAGAGTTCATCGTGAATTATTATATTTTATGTACAGTTGGTTTTGAATTGGGCGGAACGTATCAGGAATTATTATATTATTATATTTTATGTCCCGTCCAAATCATAAGGATAGAGATGTCCCAGTTTCATTCCGTTTTAGGAACTCACTTAAATGATGTGTTGAATGACGTAGATGAGAGTTATAAACTTATGTGTGGCAGGAGATGTCACTGTGAGACTAATTAGTACATTAGTTCAATTATGATTTAAAACAGAAATATTTCAAATTTTAATAAGAAAATTTCAATAATCATTTGCACTAAGCGAAGTGATTTAATTGCTTTTTCCTTAAAAATATATTGATTTAAAAACAAAAGATTATTAGAACCAGATTACTGTACATAGTCAATAACAAATGTTGCAAAATAATGCGTTACCCAAAAAATGTGGCGTTGTCTAAATTTAATGCTCTCAATTTAATGCGATGTCTCACCTGTCGTCCAATGGTTGATATTGATAGGTCAACGGCCAACCTTATTTTGTGTGCATTTTAGGAAACTTGAACGGTGCTTCCCCGGCTCCTTCTTATAAAAATAAGTCAGAGACCAAAGTTAGATTTATTCGTGAATATATAATTCAATTTACATCTCATATTTATCATTATTTTTAAATTAATTTATTTAATTTATAAACTGATATTTATAGGCTGATATTATGTAAGTATACTTTAAAGAAATTATGTCACATTTGTCATAATTAATTGATTTATTTAGTTTATTTAATCCACTCAAATTAGTTAATAAGTAAATCTTATATATAAATTTATCTTAAATAAATTTATCAATTAAAAAGAAAAAAATCTAAAATAAAATCATTCGAAGAAAAATCCCCCTAAAGCTAAAAGGAGAATTGCCATGAAGTCCTAAATAAAGAACATAATTATTAAATATCTCATTGTGTCGGCAACAACAAAGCATCTTTGCAAATAATGAAATGACAAATTTTAGGTAGTAAACGACAGCTGCTCACTTGTCATTTTGACTTCTTGATAATTATTTTTCTTCTCCAAAGCTAATGCCTAGACATTCCCAAGTCACAATATATCCTGCACAGCTCTCCCTCCCCTTCTCATCTCAAACTCAAACGCTCTTGTACAGTTAGGTAATTCCACTGTTATGTGCCACTCATGAATCCATTTTGAGAGTTTCAAGTTGAATAATTAGAAGAAGAAGGAGAGTCGAATTATGGTTGAATGCATAAAAATGGTTCTAATTTTGGCCATCCAAATAGTGAAGTGCTTCATTAGCTTCAAAAGTGTGAAAAAGATGGGCTAAATGTCACACCTCTCCTTATATACCATTATAAGTCATTTCATGACATTTCCAGAAGAGAAATTTTAAATTCAAGATTTTACTGTTTATCTGGTCTGTACACTAGTCATCCGAAAATAGGCCAACTTTAAAAATTCATAACTAAATCTAGAAAAATCGAAATGATGTGGTTCTAATTTTCATACGAAGCTTGCTAAGAGTTCTATGGAGGAAAAATAATCATTAGGTCCAATTCCATACAAAATAATTCCAGAAAATTCATCAAAATATACTATTCATTTGGTAAATTTTCGAATTTCCAGTATTTTTGCATAACTCTTAGCACACAACTCCAAATTTAATTAATTACCACTTGTTTTAAAGCTAAAAATGAGATCTTTCAGCCTGCAAAATCTCAGTTTTAAACTCTAATAATTCCTTGTTATTTTATTTGCCACAAGTTTGACACTTTTTAGGAAATTTCTATCCCCCTAATTACCACTTTCTTGATTTATTTCCTCTTTTTCCTTCATTTACATTCTTCCCACAATGCATCAAGTATAATTCCAATATTGGAACATGGAATAACAATATAATTTACATCAAAATGTCATCCATAACTTATCATAAAATTAACATAAAGTTTGATACACTAGACAAAAATTTTCTAACATAGCATAATATTCATACAGCTATTTCATGCCAAGGCCAATTCTTTCCCTTACTCCACACTTGGTCTACTTCCTAATTAGTGCATAAAATGACATAGGAGGAATGAGATTTTAGAGAAATCTCAGTAGCATATAAATTATAATTATCATGTAAATCAATGCAAGTTTAATTGTGACATGTCATGCAATCTAAACCATTCCCAACTGATAGGAATTCATGCCAAATATCATACAAGGAGAGGAACATCATATTATCCACATTGACATATCACAAAGCATTTCGCCAAAGTATAACTAATATCAATCAAACAATCAAGGTCACCACAAAGTTCCTTCAATCCAAGCAACAACAATCACAACAAACAAGCAAGATAAACAATCAAATTATAATTCAAAGCTACTTTTGTAAAGCTTGTCCAATTAATTCCTCCAAGGAACAAGGCTTCTCCTTAATTCCTCCTCTCAATGCCTATTAAACCAACCATAAACATAGGTCATATTAATCACAAAATAATTTGGTTTCAACACTTTTACATTAATTTAACAATTTCCCCCTTTTTTCTTTGATTTTTAACAAATTGATTCCTTCTTTAGAATCAATCATCTCATAGTTCAATTCTACACAATTTTTCTTGAGGAATCTAATGGTGCAATCAGATTTTTAAAAATAACACTCCTTGCCCATGAACTTCTCTTGGCCGAATAAGGGGCTATATGCTTCCAAAAATTCTATTTTTGATTTCAATGATTTTAAACACTTTTCAACAACATATCCTTACACAAAAACATGTTTTAAAGCTATTGGAATCATCAAATCAAGCAACATCAATTAGCTCCTGCATGAACAGTGCTGACCGAATTGCTTCCTCCAAAACCCTAATCTTAATTTCATCCAAAAATCAATCCATACACTGTTTAATCTCTCTTATTCCACTTGATTATTAAGGTTTCTATCCTTTCCTAAGCATCACACATCTCAACCAAAAATTTCAGAATTTTCCAGTATTTTCCCAAGCAAAAATCCTTATTTAATCCATGTAAAACTTAGAGAGAATGATGCTTAGACATACCTTAATGTTTTGTTGGTGTATGTTGGATTATTTCTTGCCTAAAACACCTCAAGATTTTGGAAAAATAGGGCTGGATGAACAATGTCAGATTCTCCCCTTATTTTCCCAATTTTCTAACATTTTTCTTGTATTTTCTAAGGGTATATATAGAAAATTCAAGTTTGCCCCTCCTGTCTTCAATTGGACGAAATTGGACACCTAATAAGGTGTATGTGGCAGCTATCAAGTGTCCAAAATATTCAGATCACTCCATGTGGCTTTTCTCTAGATTTTTCTACAAAAATATCCTTTAATTTTTGCATTTTTCTTTAATTAATTGAGACCTCCAGATTCTGAAAGAAATTGGACCCTTATTGGGTTCAATGTGGGCCCCACAAAAGGTTTGGTCTAGTCCAAAAATATGGCCCACAAACCAAATCACTATCTCAAATCAATTAGAAACTTTATCGGTTACTATTTACTAGTAGCATTCTATAATTTTTTCAGACCTCCAAAAATTTATTTCTCTTCATGATAATTCACATTTAAATATGGGAATATGATTTGAAAATGTTCATAATTTTTTGCCACCTCTAGGCATTTGTTTTGAATTTTCTCCAGTTAGGCCTCTATTGGTAGTTCTGAGAGAAAATAAATTCTCTAAAATTAATTTTTGAGCTTCCAAGGCCCAAAAATTATTTTATAAATTAAAATAAATATTTATATGAATTTTATATCAATCTTCCAAATTTATTGAGGCCTCTAACTAATTAAAATAATTATTTTCTTTCGATTTTCTAATATTTTTCCCAAAAACTTTGTTTACGGGAAATTCCGTAATAAATCATTTTCAGCGAAATTCCATCTTTTGGGCCTCAACTGAGTTTTTAAAACCTCTACTCTACACTTTTTTTATTTTTCAGGAATTTTCTGGAAATTTTTTCAAATTTTTCCGTTTTGCCCTTCCTAGACCGATAATTATAGAAATGTCAGCCCGAACCTTGTCACGATTTCATATCAAAAGTTGTTTCATTTCTCCGTCTAGTTTCTACATTGACCCTCATCCCAATTTTTGATTTCCTATAACTAGGTGAAAATTCTTGGAATGTGACACTAAATAAGTTTGACAATTCAACTCAGACTTTTAATGGGTTGGCCTAATTATTAACCCGTCCACCCTATCGATTTGGACAGCTTCACAAGAGTTTGCATCTATTTTATGTATATTATAGTCTCTCCCAAGAAAATCAACCAAACCTCATCACAACCTTCTTGCCATTCTACTGAACCCATTCTTTTCTTATATTGTATGAGAAATGGCAGAAGTTAAAGTTGAGATTGTATCCCTAGGCAGCATAAAGCAATTATCTGCAACTCCAAATCACCTTAAACACTTCCAAATTTCTCTCCTTGATGCGATAGCTACTCCTCCTTCTTTTTATCTTCCTATTGTTCTCTTCTACTTCGCTTTTGATCATGATTTTTCCAAACTATCTCAAAAGTTGAAGACTTCGCTATCTCAAATTCTCGTTCCCTATTACCCATTCAATGGAAGAATCAAAACAAACAAAAGCAATCTCTATGTTGATTGCAATGATGAGGGTGTCCTTTACCTTGAAGCTGGAGTACCCTCAAAGCTTTCATATTTTCTCAAGAATAATACCAACCAACAACTCAATAAGATTAAAGGGTTTCTTCCATTAGATCCCTATAAGCCTAAACTAGATGATGAAGAAGATTGTCTAATAATGGCTGTTCAGGTTACTGAGTTGGGCTGTGGGGGTATAGCAATTGGTGTGTGTATCTCACACAAGGTTTGTGAGGCAACATCAGTAGCTTCATTCCTCAAAGCTTGGCCTCAAAAGGCAATGGAAGAAGGAAGTGAAGTGGCCTCTTCTTCACCTCTTAATATGGAAGCTTCTTTGCTTTTTCGCCCAAGGGCATAGAGATGGACTTCAATGACATGATAGGTGAGAAGAATATTACAACAAAGAGATTCCCTTTTAGTGAAAATAGCTTATGCAAATTGAAAGAAGAAATTTCAAGTGGTTATGGCTTTAAGCCGCTAGAATCAAAGTTGTGACAACTTTGATATGGAAATCAGCATTGGAAGCTGCAAGAACCACAGAGCAAAGTGACAAAAGTAGTTCATTTTTGTTACATGCTCTGAACATACGAAGCCGAATGTTGCCGCCATTGCCAGAGAATTCATTAGGTGACAATAGCACGTTTCACTTATTGATGTAGTTATAAATTATTTTAATGGTTTTTTTAATTTGAACTTTTGCATTATCAAAATACAGGTATCTCCGTTACATGAAGTTGACAAAGAAATGAAGGCGGAACTACATGACTTGGCTGAATGATAACCTCTCAAAATTCCTAATGAATTAAGCTGATTTAACGCTCTTTTATTGGGTTTATAAGTCAATTTTGCAGGAAACAAAGCTTGAGGAGAGTAAAGAATGGAAAAAAGCTGAAAAGAAGTCATCCGCCGCGGCCTCTGGAAGAAAACGCCGCGGCGGATCAAACAGAAAGGGAGGAGTGCGCCTCTGTGAAATTCGCCGCGGCGCCTTGTTGAATCCGTCGCGGCGCCCAAGCTATCTCGGAGGAAACCTGTTTGGTGAAATCTGCCGCGGCCAATTATCACGTGCGCCGCGGCACCTGGCCCCTCGTAGCTATGCGTTTTACTTGCTAACTTAAAAAATTAGGGCATATAAAGGTAGATACTCGGTTTTCTGGAGAGAGTTCGACTTTTGGAGTAATTTTGGAGGCTAGCTCTGCTAGGGTTTGGAGTTTTGGAGGCTTGGAACCTTTGGGCTTGAAGCTAGAAGAGATTCAAAGCTTGTAACTTGAATTTTCTGGGTTTCCTTCTTCTTCCCTTCTTGTTTCTGCTATGACTACTAGATACTCTTATAGTTGTAGTTCTTTACTCGATATGTATAGCTAAATCCGTTTTTCTAGGGTTATTTTGATCTATTGTATGGATTGAGGCTTGGTTTTACTATCTCTTGAGTGTTAATGATAATATTCAGTCGTTTTTACTTTGAGCTTAATGCTTCCTTTTGTCTGGCCATCATTTGGATTGATTGATTGATTAGTTTAACTTGAGAAAGTTAAACTAATTCGTGAATTTAGGTAAAAACATGCTAGTCCAAAAATTTAATTGAGTGAATAGATGGTTTGTCGATGGATCAGAGATGTATTTGTTGACCTAGCATAGACTAAATAGGTTTTGGTTTTTAAAGTGCAACCTTTTCAAACAAATACAAGAGATTGCTGTGTTTTAATTGTGTTTGCAAACATTTGGTTTTGACTTGAGAAAGCTTAATCAATTCTGTAAACCCAGGCTAACTAAACTTATTGTAAAGCACTACTTGAGAAGTAATTAACCCAGTTTCATGAAGTACTTTAGTGAAGAATAACCCTAGTCTCTTAATTGTTTCAAGGTCAATTTGATTTTATATTGCTTTAAACCATTGTTTTCTTAATTTCATTTCACAAACTCTTTTACAACAATTATTTCACTTAACCTAATCAAATACACAATTATGATTTTTCAACTCATCTAGTCTTAGTCTCTGAGGGAATGATACTTTTTATATTACTTGCGACCCGTCCACTTGCGGTCAAGTTATTTGGTGAACAAGTTTTTGGCGCCGTTGCCGGGGACTAACAGCTAGAGTGTTTGAGGTTGATTGTCCTTATTGTGTAATTGGTTATGCTTAAGTTTCAATTAGCATTTATAGTGGATATAGGTAGTAGTAGTAGTTATTTTGTTCATTTCTCTTGATAAGTTTGATACTTTTGTTGTTGATTTGAATGTGCAAGTAACCCCTGACGCATGCAAGGAAGATTGGAAGTTATTGTGGAAGAAGTTACTAAAGAAGTATCCAGGTCGGGAGAAACTGAAAACACACCGGAGATTCAACAACAACCTCAGTTACTTCCACCGTCGCCGCCACCACCACCACCACCTGAATCAAAATCAGAAGAAAACATGGCGGAGGAAGATGAGAACGATGTGTACACCCTGGATGACTATTTGGATAAAGAAGGGCAGACTTTTCACTCAAGTATCCGGCTACCAGACATTCAAGCCAGGAATTTTGAAATCAAGCCTGTTATGATTCAACTACTGGGGATGATGGGTACTTTTGAAGGAAATTTTAAGGATGATCCGAATGAGCATTTGACCAAGTTTATAGAGGTTTGTGAGAACTTCAAACAAACTGGGGTTACTAAAGATGCACTGCGATTGAGATTGTTCCCTATGTCGCTATCTCACAAGGCGAAAACGTGGTTGAATTCTTTACTTGAACACTCCATTAAGACTTGGGATGAGCTTGTATCTAAGTTCAAGGCCAGATTTATTCCAAGGGGCAAACATGCTACATTAAGGGGTGAATTGCTTTCTTTCGAGCAGCATCCGGATGAGTTATTTTACGAGGCTTGGGAAAGATTCAAGGATATGTGGAGAAATTGTCCAAATCATGAGCAAAAGAAGTATGTTTTAATGGAAGCCTTCTGGAATGGGTTGAATGATCAGACAGTGACAATGCTGAATACCGCTTCAAACGGAGGAATCAGAAAGATGAAGGTAAATGAGCTATATGAACTGTATGAAGAGGTGGCATCTAGCACTATGCAACAGTATAACAAGAGAAGGCAAAGTTCTGGGAGATATAAGGAGCCTAGTTCTTCATCATCAAGGGATATTGCATCGCAACTTGAAGCAATATCTAAGAGATTTGACAATATGGAATTGCAGATTAAGAAAGGAAATGCTGCAGGAGTTCATGCACTTCAGGCTCCGGGATACACTTGTGACCATTGTAATGAGAAACATCATTCTGATCAACGCCCATACACCTTGGAGACAGTCAATTATATGAATAATGCGCAGTGAAGACCACAAGGAAGACCTTATTCTCAAACTTACAATCCAAATTTGAGAAATCATCCAAATTTCTCTTGGCGAAATGGGCCAAGTTTGAATCCTCCACAAATATTACCATCTGGTGCTAAACAAATGGGGCCTCCTGGTTTTCAAGGTCAACCACAGCAGCATCAATTGCAACAGCAGCATCCTCAAAAGGAAGAATCTGAAATTGAGAAGATGTTTGCTCAACTATTAGCAAATCAAGAATCTGTAAGGGCTGAGAATAAGGCAACATTTTCTCTCCATGAAACTGCCATCAAGAATCTCGAGGTGCAAATGGGTCAACTGGCTTCATGAATGAATGTACTCACAAGAAGCAGCTTACCAAGTGATACCATTCCCAATCCAAAAAGGGATGGTAATGAAGAGTGCAAAGCGATCAGTTTGAGAAGTGGAAAGCAATTACCTGACATTTAGAGGCCTAGTCAAACCGGCAAGGACATCACTAATAGTATGGCGACTGACCTTGATACCAATGAGCTTTCAGAAGAAGGTGGTATAGTAGAAGAGGAAGAAACCAAGAAAAGGAAACAAACAGAAGAAAATCTCACTGATGTGGTTCGAGGAAAGAATGTAGAGGGTGAAATGGTTGATGATAAAAAGAGGAAGACAACTCCCCCTCTTGCTACACAGATGCCGCCACTTCCGTTTCCTCAAAGGTTCAGGAAAATAGATGAAGATGTCCAGTTCAAGAAATTTGTGGACATGTTTAAGCAATTACACATCAACATCCCGTTTGCTAAAGCATTAGAGCAGATGCCTAAGTATGCTAAGTTTCTTAAGGATGTTCTCTCCAAAAAGAAGAGATTTGGTGAATTTGAAACGATGGCTCTGACTGAAGATTGTAGTGCCATCTTGCAGCGAAAACTCCCACCCAAATTGAGAGATCCAGGCAGCTTTTATATTCCATGCAACATAGGCAAACACTTCAATGGAAAAGCCCTATGCGATTTGGGAGCAAGTGTTAACTTGATGCCTCTAGCTGTATTCAATCGATTAAATTTGGGTGAAGCAAGGCCAACAACTGTTACACTGCTCTTTGCTGATAGAAGTATCTCATATCCTAAAGGGATTGTAGAAGATGTCTTGGTAAAGGTAGACAAATTCATATTCCCAGCTGATTTTATTGTGTTAGACTGTGAGGTAGATTGGAATATCCCCATTATTTTGGGACGGCCATTCTTAGCTACTGCAAGAACCCTCATTGACGTAGAAAAGGGTGAGATCACCATGCGAGTAAATGATGAGAAGGTGATATTCAACATGAATCAAGCCTTGAAGTCTACAGTGCAAGAGGAGTTGATTAACTCTTTGACCAAAGACCCATTAGAAGCATTGTTGATTGGAGAAACAAGTAGTATTGATGGCAAGATTGAAGCTTATGCAGAAATGATGAGTATTGAAGCATTTCCGTATCGAAAAGCTAAGACTTTTGAGCCTCTGGATGTGACTAGTGCTTTAAGCTCTCCTCTAAAGCCTTCTGTAGATGAACCGCCGGTGTTGGAGTTGAAGACTTTACCATCACATCTCAAGTATGCCTACTTGGGTAATTCTACTACATTACCTGTGATTGTTTCTTCTCATTTGTTCACATTGCAAGAAGAGAAATTGTTAAGGGTCTTGAGACACCACAAGAAAGCTATTAGGTGGTCCATAGCTGACATCAAAGGGATCAACCCTTCTATTTGTATGCACAAGATTTTATTAGAGGATGGTCGCAAACCTTCTATTAAGCATCAAAGGAGATTGAACCCGGTTATGAAAGAAGTAGTCAAGAAGAGATCCTGAAATGGCTTTCTGCTGGCATAGTCTACCCTATTTCTGATAGTTCATGGGTGAGCCCAGTTCAATGCGTCCCTAAAAAAGGCGGTATAACTGTAGTGGCTAACACCCAAAATGAGCTAGTTCCAACTCGTATTGTGACTGGGTGGAGATTTGCATGGATTATCGAAAGTTAAATACAGCAACCAGAAAAGACCATTTCCCGCTGCCATTTATTGATCAGTTGTTGGATAAACTTGCTGGGCAAGAATTCTTTTGTTTCTTGGATGGGTATTCAGGATACAACCAAATTGTAATAGCCTCAGAAGATCAAGAGAAAACAACCTTTACTTGTCTATATGGCACGTTTGCTTTCAAAAGAATGCCATTTGGTCTTTGCAATGCTCCAGCAACATTCCAAAGATGCATGATGGCCATCTTTGCTGACATGATTGAGAAAACAATTGAAGTGTTCATGGATGACTTCTTTGTTTTTGGAGATTCTTTTGATTGTTGTTTAGATAATTTGGCGGCTGCTTTGCAAAGATGTGAAGAAACTAATTTGGTTCTGAATTGGGAAAAATGTCACTTCATGGTGCAAGAGGGCATTGTCCTTGGTCATCGAGTATCCAAACAAGGCCTAGAAGTTGATAAGGCAAAGGTATCTGTTATTGAGCAATTGCCTCCACCAACAAGTGTTAAGGGTATTAGAAGCTTCTTGGGTCACACGGGATTCTACCGTCGTTTCATTAAAGATTTCTCTAAAATTACTAAGTCTTTGTGCAATTTGTTGGAGAAAGATAGAGAGTTCAAGTTTGATGACACTTGTATGAACTCTTTTGAAGAATTAAAGAAGCTCACCTCAACACCAATTTTAGTGGCACCTAATAGGGAGCTACCCTTCATCATTATGGCAGATGCTAGTGATTTTGCCGTTGGAGCAGTTCTAGGACAAAAAGTAGAAAATGTCTTCCATCCCATCTACTATGCTAGTAAAACTTTGGACAGAGAAAGAATTGCTTGCAGTGGTGTTTGCTTGTGAGAAATTCTGGTCTTATATTGTGGGCACCAAAGTGACTATCTATACAGACCACTCTGCCCTAAAGTACTTGTTTACCAAGAAAGATTCCAAAGCACGCCTGATTCGATGGGTCCTTTTGCTTCAAGAATTTGACTTGGAAATTGTTGATAGGAAAGGCACTGAGAACCAAGTGGCAGATCATCTATCTCGATTAAGTAGTGAGGCTACACATGATCATTGTCAAAAGATCAATGCATCTTTTCCCGATGAATGCTTGTTCTTTGTGGATAACTCAACTACTCCATGGTATGCAGATCTGGTTAATTATCTGGTTTGTGGAACTCTGCCACTAGACCTTAACTCCCATCAAAAGAGGAAATTTCTTCACGATGCAAAGATGTACTTCTGGGAAGAACCTTACTTGTTCAAAAGATGTGCTGATTAGATGATAAGAAGATGTGTTCCAGAAGTTGAGCAGCAAGATATTCTAGAGTGTTGCCACTCTTCAGCTTATGGTGGGCACTTTAGAGGAGAGAAAACTGCTGCCAAAGTCCTTCAAAGTGGTTTTTATTGGCCTTCACTATTTAAAGATGCATATGCCTTTGTGATATGATGTGATCGGTGTCAACGAGTGGGAAACATATCAAGAAGGAATGAAATGCCTCTGAATAATATTCTGGAAGTTGAACTCTTTGATGTATGGGGAATTGACTTCATGGGCCCGTTTCCAAAGTCTCTCAATCAAGAGTACATTCTGGTTGCTGTGGACTATGTCTCGAAATGGGTTGAAGCTACTGCATGTGTATCCAGTGATGCTAAAACGGTGATCAAATTCTTAAAGAAAAACATCTTCACTAGATTTGGAGCACCTCGGGCTATTATTAGTGATGGCGGTTCTCACTTTTGCAATCATCAATTTCAAGCTCTGATGAAGAAATATGGTGTAAAGCACAGGGTAACTTTGGCTTATCATCCTCAGTCAAATGGCCAAGCAGAAATATCCAACCGAGAGATCAAAAGCATCTTGAGAAGGTAGTAGGTGCAACAAGAAAGATTGGTCATTAAAACTGGATGATGCTCTTTGGGCCTACAGGACAGCATATAAAACTCCGATTGGGATGTCTCCCTATCGGTTGGTGTTTGGAAAAGCATGTCATCTGCCTGTAGAATTGGAACATGGAGCTTATTGGGCCATAAAAAAGCTCAACTTTGACTTTCAAGTGCTGGTGAAAAAAGGCTTCTTCAACTAATGAATTGGAGGAATTTGCCTTAATGCCTATGAAAGTGCAAGGCTCTATAAGGAACGGACCAAGAAGTATCATGATCAGAAAATTATCCCCAAGGTCTTTGAAGCGGGACAAAAGGTGTTACTTCATAATTCCAAATTGAGATTATTTCCGGGCAAACTCAAATCACGTTGGTCAGGGCCATTCACTGTGGTACAAGCTGCTAACCATGGTGCGGTGGAGCTGGAAAATGAAAAAGGTGAAAGATTTCATGCAAATGGCCATCGTTTGAAGCATTATTGGGGTGGAAAGGTGGATCGTCAAGTTTCTACAATCTACTTTGCTGAACAATCATAACAGAGCTGAAGAGTCAGGCTGAAGACTATAAACCAAGCGCTACTTGGGAGGCAACCCAAGCTCTAAACTTGCCTTTGATGTGTTTCTTTTATTTCAGTTTTGTTTTAGTAGATTTACGTTTGATCTTTGTTTTTGTAGGCTTTTGGTTTATTCCTCAAACCTTGGAGCTTAGCAGGAGTGGTTGATTTCTAATTAGCGCAACCAGGGAAGTGTACATAACCTTAATCTCCAGCAGTGGCTTGACCTTGATTGGTTTAAATTTGTGTTAAATTGAGACTTGTGGGTTTTGCTTTTATGTGGTTGTTTGTGTTGTGTTTGTTTTTATGCTTGTGCTTGTGTTTAGTCTTGTTTTATTGTGTGTAAGGTGTTTGATTGTGGTAGGTCCAGTTGTGTTCATTAATTTTTCATTTAGGCCTTCCCTGTGTGAGGCGCCGCGACGCTTTTGATAAGAAGCCGCGGCGCCTCGGCTGTTTCAGAGTGCCCTTTCTGTAATAGGCGCCGTGGGCCCTGAGATAATCCGCCGCGGCGTTTGGACATAGAGGCCGCAACGCGCTTTCTTTAACTAGAGTGTGCAATTCTATAAAAACCACCGCGGCGCCTTATCGCAGTCTCAAATCTTTTTCTTTGTGTTCCCTGTTTTAACCTTGCTCATTTGTCTCAATACCCACTTTGCCCCAGTGTACACTACAAGAAAATGTTAAAGTAGCAGCGGAACATTTCTAGCGGTTCAACAAAACCGCTAGAAATTCCAGATATTTCTAGCAGTTTTCATAAAAACCGCTGCAAAATACAGACGGTTTGACCATTGCCCGCACATTTCTAGCGGTTACCACCTAACCGCTAGAAATTAGAGCTAGAAAATTCCCGGGTTTTGGCGGGAACTTGGCGCCAAATTTGTAGCATTTATTTTCTAGCGGTTCAGGCCAATAAACCGCTAGACACTGAAAATTTCTAGCGGTTGATGCATGAACCGCTAGAAATATTTTTCATTCCCGAGGAGTTTAGAAATTTCTAGCGGTTCTGGACTGAACCGCTAGAAATTTCTGGCAATTCTCGAGGCCCTTGTGACCGTTGGGAATTTCTAGCGGTTTGGTCCAGAACCGCTAGAAATTTCTAGCGGTTCTGTGGTAAACCGCTAGAAATTCTCGGTCTATATAAACCCCCCCACTCTCACTTCTTCAATCGTTCTGGAAGCGAAGCTCTGCTGAATTTTCTCCACAAACATATTCGAGTTCTGATTCAGTTGCAGATCCTTATTTTCAGGTAAAAATAGTAATTTATTGATAAATAATTTTTATTTTATGTTTTATTTTATTTATTTTATTATGTTGTAGCTTATAAATAATTTTTCTTTTTATTTTATTTATAAATAATTACTATTTGTTGTTATTAGGATGACTCGTCGACACGGGAAAGACCTAGTTGATCCTGAGAGAGCTGGACCCAGTGAGGTTCATCATGATGCTGGTGAGCCATTCCCCAGCATTCATGACTACGATCTCAGCGAGGAGGATATCCTCAGTTTTATGGAGCAGGATGATGTTGAGCGGACTGAGGAGGCTCATTTTACTGGGGATGAGCAACCCCATGCTGATGCTGATGCTGCTGACGAGGAGGAGGAGGAGGAGCAGGATCAGGGGAATGAGTATCCCCAGGCTGCGCAGCGTCCTGCTCCGAGACGTCAGGCTGGTTATGAGGTGGAATTTGTCGGTAAGTATTTATTTAACTTTTTAAAGTTTTGATCAGTATTTAATTTATATAGAAATTGTATTAATTTATTGATATATAATTTATTTCTTAATTAAATTTTGCAGACACTGAGGGGAACAGGTCCTATCGGAGGCTGACAGCCAGAGAGCTGTCTATGATGACGAGCGGACAAGTGGTTGTGCTGCTCAATGAGTTGGGCCAACCGACGAAGAAAGGTGGCCAGTTGTACAACAAGTACGTGCGCCTCCTTGGTCAGCAGTGGACGCTGTTCCCCATCTACGTGCAGGACTGGAAGAAGATCACCCCAGACAAGAAGCAGCAAGGCTGGGAAATGATGAAGGTAATATAAAATTGTTATTTATAATTTTTTTAATTTAAATAAATGATTATATATTTTGTTTTCAAATAATTTAATTGTTTGATTATAATTTTTATTTATTTAATTTGTTTGTTATTTATAATATTTTTAAAAGTAGTTAAATGAATATATATATTTTTATTTAAATTATTTAAAAGTAGTTAAATGAAAATAATTTGTTATTGATTTCATTAATTTATTACTTATAATAATTTTAAATTTAGTTGAGTAAAAATATTTTTTCATTTAAATTACTTAATTGTTTAATTATTATTTGTTTTTGATTAATTTATATTTTATTTATAATATTCTTAAATTAGTTAAAACTAATTATTTTTTTTTATTATTGAAATTGCTTAATTATTTGTTTATAATTTGTTATTTAGTTAATTTATTATTTTAATCATAGAGTAAATTTATTCTGGGGGAGGAGTTGAGGGCTGACACGATCAAGAGGCTTGGGATGGCATGGAAGAACAGGAGGGCCGACCTGTGGAGGGAGAAGAAAGGTGACGGGACGAGGCCCCTCCAGGAGATACTGGCAGATGTACCTGGTGGAGTCCCGGACCAAGACTGGTCCAGTTACGTCTATTTTAGGATGACGGCTGACCAGATGGTATGATAATATTGTATTAATTATAATTTCTTTATTTTTTATCCGACTTGACTCATTTAATTTAATTTTTTTACATTTTGCTTCAGGCTCTTTCTAGGAGAAATGCTGGGAGCGTCAGGCATCAGACGATACGTCATAGGGCTGGATCCAGGAGCTTTGCGATCACTTATGACGAGATTGTGAGTACTTGAAATAAATTTATTAAATATGTATATGTATTTAATTTGTAACTAATTATTTCTTTGATTTCATTTACAGAGGGAAAAGACGCAGCAGGAGCGGGGATACACGCCCACTTATGGCGAGATGTGGCCGATGGTGTATAGACCCCGAGACGGGCGTGCGTCGGATGAGGTTGAGGAGATAGCGGTAAGTAATAAATTAAATATTAATATAATATCACAGTGTAGATATCATTATATTATAATTAACTTCTTTATATTAATTTTGGTAGGCACGGATGACTCAGGTCGATTCCGAGTTGCGTGAGTCTCAGGGGTCTGCCTTGGATCCCACCGCCTCACTTTTAGCGGGTCGTGGCCGGCCGCAGCACCCTGGTCGAGTTAGCGGGCTTGGACTTGGACCTACACCGACTAGGTTGCCCCGCTCAAGTGGCGCTGGCCCTTCATATACTGCTGGGAGCTCTCATGCGAGTGCGAAGCGGCCGGGTTCCTCATCCTCAGAGGAATTGCGAGAGGAGCTCAGACAAGAGTTCGAGGCCAGGATGGAGGCCAGGATCGTGGAGCGTGATCGTCAGTGCAGGAGCGTGATCGTCAGCTCCAGACGCAGCTTGACCAGCTCTTGGCAGCTGCTACGGCTCTGCGTCATGTGGTGGTCAGTATAGCTCCAAACATCTCGGTTCCTGACATCCCCGACCTACACCTGCCACCAGTCCCGCCCCTACCCCCCATCCGCCAGTCCAGTCCCAGCAGGTTGAGCGGCCTGCCCACCCCCAGCCGGAGGATCCAGCAGAGGATGATCACGATGATGCTGCTTCTGCCCCCCACCCATGATTTGCTTTCATTGTATGGGATTTTATTAGAATCTTGATTTTACGGTTTTATATACTATTTAGATATTTATTTAAATTTTATATTTATTTGTTTACTTTATTGATTTATTTCTATAATTTTATTTATGTCAAGTACTAATTAATATTGAAATATTTATTTATTTATTACAACATCAACATTACAATTTATTAAACACGTTAAACATGTTTATTAATCAAAATAATTCTATAATCATTTATTAATTTAATAAATATTTATTTTTGTAATGTTATTAATTTATTGTGCAGTATTTCTATTTAATATTTAAAAATAATATCGTTTGTAGCGGTTTTAAAACCGTTAGAGAATTCAACTGAATTTTAACCATCGTGAAAATTTCTAGCGGTTTCATAAACCGCTAGAAAATTAGCAAAATTGCTAATTTTCTAGCGGTTCTTGTAAACCGCTAGAAAATTAATTTGCAAGAACCGCTAGAAAATTATCTCATTTTCTAGCGGTTTACATGAACCACTAGAAAATTAGCAAGTTTTGCCTAATTTTCTAGCGGTTTAATAACCGCTAGAAAATTCAAAACCGATGGAGACAAAATTCCCGTTAACCCGCTAGAAATTTCTATCGGTTTGTAACCGATATTTAGAATTTCTAGCGGTTAATAACCGCTGGAAAATGAAAATTTCCGTTAAAACCGCTACAAATTTGTAGCGGTTTTGTAACCGCTACAAAAAAATGACCGTTCCACCAGCCTCCTTTATAAGCTGAAGCACTCCAACTGAATTCCATTTTAACTTCTCTTTGAGCTCTGTGTCATATTTTCACGAAATTTGAGCATTATTAGTGATGGATAGGTCATGGATCAACTTGCACCGGTCGACTCCGCAATACTTGGCTGGTCTAAACTATTTCTTGGATTTTGCTTTTGCCAATGCTGCCGTAAATGGTAAGATTCAGTGTCCCTGTCCTAAATGTAATTTCAAAAAGTGGCATCCCAAAGATATTGTTAGGGAACATTTAATCTTTAAGCCTTTTCCGCGAGAGTACGTATTTTGGCAACTACATGGGGAACGGCTAGATATGGGTGCTGAGTCAGTTCCAGTAGTTTCACGGATGGGAGTTCGAGTGGATGAAGCCGATGCCGTGAATGATGCTGTGCGTGATGCTTTTGGTGTTCACGAAAGCTCGAATCCCAACGAAGATGAAGTAGAGGGACCTCAACCGGAGTTTCTAAGAAACGAAACTGCTCGGGAATTTTTTGACCTCATGACCGAAGCTGACAAGCCTCTTTATTCTGGGTGTACAAAGTATT